CAAAATTTGGATCTAATTGGATTGCTTTATCATAACAAAGAATTTCATCTTGATATTTACCTTCCAATCCTAAGGAGTAACCTAAAATTTTTAACAAATAATCCTACCTTTCTTAAAATAACCAATACTATACTAAAGATTAAATTTTAGAGCTTCTTCAATACACACATTTGCTTAAGAATATTGTTTCAAATCATCTAAAGAAAAGCCTATTTTGTAATATACAATGATTACTTTTTCTATACAAAGCATGTAGATGTTAAGGATCATCTCTCAAAACAGTTTCGCATAACTCAATAGCCTATTGAAATTAATTATCTTCCCTTAATGCATAGCCTATTTAAATTAACGTTTCAATTACTTTTTGCAATTAAAATAAAAGTATTTTATGGGTTTTTCCTTAATTCTTGATCCGAATAATCTAATAGATCTCTATACAAGCTATTATTAATCTTTTTCGCTTATTCCCTAATAATTATTCCTTATCCAGGTTAGTTCATTTCAATTAAAGCAATACCTAATTATATATAATAGAATCAAAATACATTTAAAGAATGTTCCCAAGGATTATTGTTTCTCTGATAATTTTATGTACTAAGTAATTTTTTCATTAGCCTCCTACCATTTCTTCTAATTTAGTAATTAAATTCCTAATATTATTTAAAAAAACTTGAATACCTTAGTAGAGTCCATTTTCATTATCTTGCTAAATATCTAAACTTTATTATTATCCTTTATCTAAATCCATTGCCTAAATCATTTTTTTTATTCTAACTAATTAAGTTCCTATAAATATTACTTAGATAATATACCAATTTAATTCTACTTCATAATCTCCTCTTAATTGTTTAAATATTGGTACCATTCTTTAATCACTTACAAATTGGCTTTCATTTATTAATAATCTTATTAGCTTAAACATTCAGATATCTTAATTAATTATGTTTTCATGTTCTCCAATTATTTTGAGAATTCTTCATATTCTCTTTTAACTTTAGCAAAGGATTTATTCAATTATGTTGCTAAATCAAGTATATTCTAATTGAATTTCGTGATAAAACTTTAAATTTAACCAAATCCTTTTAGATCTTTCTTGCAATTAGAATGCTTCTTAGGATCAAATCCACATTATAGACAGAACTGAGGTCTTGAATCCTAACATCTCAAGTTTAAACAAAATCCTTAAATGGTTTCTCCCTCATGCTCAATATCTTAACACGTAAACACTTTCATTAAATATATTTAATTATAGAATTAAAAATTAAGCCAATTTTTCATTTATACTAATATTTTTATGTATTCTATTCATTTACTTTTTAAAAATGATTTTTACGATAGCTTTTATATAATTACATTTCACTTTTAAATTTTAAGTGATAATCTAAATGATACTCTAATCTATTATCCCTAAAAACAAACATATGAGAATATACACATCGATCAATTCTGCATAAGGAAATCATTCTATTTGGCTTAGATTAACTAGTTATTATATTTCATACATATATGCATTTTATCTATTGCTTCTTTCCTTGCCTTCTAATTATTTCAGATTATCCCTACACCAACAGTCTAATCAATTTAATTATGCTCAAAAAGCAATGTTTGGTCCTCATTTTCTTTTTCCTTTTTGAGTAGGCTAAATAATTTATTTAAACTACTATTCTCCCTATATATTATTAAACATATATCAAAAGTTAAAGCTCAAATCGGACCCAGAGAGAAATTCGTATTTCATCAAATTTAATAAATTTTAATTTATATAGTTCTATTAGAAGTAAAACTTACAATGAATTATTTTCTTGTAATCTTTAATGATGAAGAAATTTAATGAGATAGATTTTGAGACATAAATATAATTGGGAGAATTCCAATTATTTATTTTTATCATTCTTTTGGTTTTTTTCAATCTGTTGATTTAATCAATGTTCGCAACAACTTTAATAAATTTTTAGTTTCTTAAATGGAATTTATAAAAATATAAATATCTGACAGAATAGAGAGTTATATATTGAATTGAATTATAATAAATCCATTAGAGGAATTTATTAATTTAAAGATATTTGAATGTCTCGACTCCTCGAAGAAATCAATTCAAAAGTGTGAATTAAAATAAGTAATTAGAAAACAAGACTTCAAATATATCAAATTTTAGTGTTGTAGCAACAAAACTGAATGAATATAATAGAATGCACTCCATAAGATTGATATGAATAAGAACAAAATGAAAAAAATCATACTACAGCTCAATTTAAAAAATTAGAACCTCATTTTATTAAACAACACAATACACTTTATAAAATCGATTTAATAATCTGTTCTCCTGATAAATTAGAATACTCTAAAAGTAGCAAATAAACTTCAGAAATTCAAAATAGAAAAAACAACTGATAAGAATGTTAATACAAAAAAGTAAAAATTGTAAGTAATAGATATATTCAAGAAATTACAAAAAATTGGAAGAAATTATTTAACTTTAGAGTTGTCTATTAACAATAAATGAGTAGACCATCAATCTCAAAACCACCCAATGCAAAGAAACTACAGGTATTTTTTAAACTATAAAGTCAGAATATACTTAATCAATTCTATTATTAGGTTATTCAGAAAAAGTAAGTAAAAATTCATGAAAGAGGGACACTCAATTATGATAAAATAACTTAAATTATGACATTAAAGTTGTTAAGAATGCTTTCATAATAGAGGTTATGTTTTTTTAGATGCAAAAATTATTCAGAAGAATTGAAAATATCAAATTTGCACTAATTTCTTTAAAAAATTTATAGATGGCTATAAAAGACTTAAATTTTAAATAATAAGGGGGTATTTGACATTTAGCTGATAGCATAATAAATTTCTAAAGAATTATTATATTATAATAATAAATAAATAAGAAATTTTTTAAGTTAAAAATTTCAATGGTTAAATTTTTATTTTATACTAAAAATATACTATGTAATTAAGTTTAAAGCATTTCTGTTTACTTTAGAAAATTCCTGATCACTAAGAATCAAATGGATTAAGAAGTCATTATATAAAACCGAAAATTTTTCCAATATTCGGAAATTAATGAAAGTTTTTTTATAAATATCACAAATTGCTGGATTTTTAAAAATAAGCTGGAATTCTCCTTCTAAATATAGGAATACCTTCATTGTTATTAATCAACTTTAATAGAATTGCCTTTTGCAATTATAAACAGAGAAGTTGGAGTAAAATTGACTTATTCCTTCCATATGGTAGTTCTTTCTCATGAGAAAGTCAGATTTATAGCTTTGGATACCAACTTGAAGAGGCACCAAAAAGATTTAAAAAGAGAGTGCCAGCAAATTATTCCTTGTATTTATTTACTTTTTTTATGAAGGAATATTAGATATTTCTTATTACTTTATAATTCTTTTCAATATTTTATTATTTCCTATATTTTGTTAATTCTCTCCAAAACATCCAGTCTTGAATTTGTTTATATCAATATTAGATAATTTCAATTCTTCCTCATTTCAGATTAAAGAGCTTGGATATTTATTAATATATGATCCTTTGAGTTCATCCAGGTTAGCTTCAAAATCATTCTGACTAAAATCCATTAAGGAGGTGAAATCAACTTCTCGAACATACAGAAAAGTGTTAAAAGTGAATTAATAGGACCAGGCCTACTTGATCGAAAGTGGAAATTTGGGGATCTCTATCAAATGTTAAATGAATATTAAATTATCATAGTGAATAATAATAATTATGATATTGCTTTTAGGATATCAGTATTTAATTTAAGCCTATATCAAATTAATGAAGGAAATGCAACTATAACTATAGGTTAGATTCAGTTAATATATACAAATATGATTAAAAAAGGAAGTCATTTATAAAAAACTTCAGCAACTGTGGTCTTTAGATTGCTAATAATTGGAAAAGAAAGCAAGTTGACAGTTTGATAATATCATATTAAATCACTTTTAGTTATCTCCACATGAAATTAAATAGAGAAATCATAAATAGAAGTCAATAGTAAAAATATAGTTATGCAGAATTGATTGATGTGTATATTCTCATATGTTTGTTTTTAGGGATAATAGATTAGAGTATCATTTAGATTATCACTTAAAATTTAAAAGTGAAATGTAATTATATAAAAGCTATCGTAAAAATCATTTTTAAAAAGTATATGAATAGAATACATAAAAATATTAGTATAAATGAAAAATTGGCTTAATTTTTAATTCTATAATTAAATATATTTAATGAAAGTGTTTACGTGTTAAGATATTGAGCATGAGGGAGAAACCATTTAAGGATTTTGTTTAAACTTGAGATGTTAGGATTCAAGACCTCAGTTCTGTCTATAATGTGGATTTGATCCTAAGAAGCATTCTAATTGCAAGAAAGATCTAAAAGGATTTGGTTAAATTTAAAGTTTTATCACGAAATTCAATTAGAATATACTTGATTTAGCAACATAATTGAATAAATCCTTTGCTAAAGTTAAAAGAGAATATGAAGAATTCTCAAAATAATTGGAGAACATGAAAACATAATTAATTAAGATATCTGAATGTTTAAGCTAATAAGATTATTTATAAATGAAAGCCAATTTGTAAGTGATTAAAGAATGGTACCAATATTTAAACAATTAAGAGGAGATTATGAAGTAGAATTAAATTGGTATATTATCTAAGTAATATTTATAGGAACTTAATTATTATTATCATCTTGAACTTAAATATCAGAGTTAGAATAAAAAAAATTATTTAGGCAATGGATTTAGATAAAGGATAATAATAAATTTTAGATATTTAGCAAGATAATGAAAATGGACTCTACTAAGGTATTCAAGTATTTTTAAATAATATTAGGAATTTAATTACTAAATTAGTAGAAATGGTAGGAGGCTAATGAAAAAATTACTTAATACATAAACTTGTCAGAGAAACAACAATCCTTGGGAACATTCTTTAAATGCATTTTGATTCTATTATATATATATAGGTATTACTTTAATTGAAATGAACTAACCTGGGTAAGGAATAATTATGAGGGAATAGGCGAAAAAGATTAATAATAGCTTGTATAGAGATCTATTAGATTATTCGGATCAAGAATTAAGGAAAAACCCATAAAATACTTTAATTTTAATTACAAAAAGTAATTGAAACATTAATTTACATAGGCTATGCATTAAGGGAAGATAAGTAATTTCAATAGGCTATTGAGTTATGCGAAACTGTTTTGAGAGATGATCCTTAACATCTACATGCTTTGTATAGAAGAAGTAATCATTGTATATTACAAAATAGGCTTTTCTTTAGATGATTTGAAACAATATTCTTAAGCAAATGTGTGTATTGAAGAAGCTCTAAAATTTAATCTTTAGTATAGTATTGGTTATTTTAAGAAAGGTAGGATTATTTGTTAAAAATTTTAGGTTACTCCTTAGGATTGGAAGGTAAATATCAAGATGAAATTCTTTGTTATGATAAAGCAATCCAATTAGATCCAAATTTTGCGATGGCCATTAATAATAAAGGTTTGTAAAATTCTTAATTGTATTAGGTACTTCCTTACGTAATCTTAACAAATATAACGATGCAATTGCTAGCTATGATATTGCAATCCAATTAGATCCAAATTTTGCGATGGCCTATAATAATAAAGGTTTGTAAAATTCTTGATTGTATTAGGTACTTCCTTACATTATCTTCACAAATATAATGATGCAATTGTTTGCTATGATAAAGCAATCCAATTAGATCCAAATTTAGCGATAGCCTATAATAATAAAGGTTTGTTAAATTCTTGATTGTATTAGGTACTTCCTTACATTATCTTCACAAATATAATGATGCAATTGTTTGCTATGATAAAGCAATCCAATTAGATCCAAATTTAGCGATAGCCTATAATAATAAAGGTTTGTTAAATTCTTGATTGTATTAGGTACTTCCTTACATTATCTTCACAAATATAATGATGCAATTGTTTGCTATGATAAAGCAATCCAATTAGATCCAAATTTAGCGATAGCCTATAATAATAAAGGTTTGTTAAATTCTTGATTGTATTAGGTACTTCCTTACATTATCTTCACAAATATAATGATGCAATTGTTTGCTATGATAAAGCAATCCAATTAGATCCAAATTTAGCGATAGCCTATAATAATAAAGGTTTGTTAAATTCTTGATTGTATTAGGTACTTCCTTACATTATCTTCACAAATATAATGATGCAATTGTTTGCTATGATAAAGCAATCCAATTAGATCCAAATTTAGCGATAGCCTATAATAATAAAGGTTTGTTAAATTCTTGATTGTATTAGGTACTTCCTTACATTATCTTCACAAATATAATGATGCAATTGTTTGCTATGATAAAGCAATCCAATTAGATCCAAATTTGACGATGGCCTATAATAATAAAGGTTTGTAAAATTCTTGATTGTATTAGGTGATTCCTTAAATAATCTTAGCAAATATAAAGATGCAATTGTTTGTCTTGAAAAAGCAATCCAATTAGATCCAAATTTAGCGATGGCCTATAGTAATAGAGGTTTGTAAAATTCTTGATTGTATTAGGTACTTCCTTACATTATCTTCACAAATATAATGATGCAATTTTTAGCTATGATAAAGCAATCAAATTATATCCAAATTTAGAGATGGCCTATAATAATATAGGTTTGTAAAATTCTTGATTGTATTAGGTTTTTCCTTACATAATCTTAACAAATATAACGATGCAATTGCTAGGTATGATAAAGCAACACAATTAGATCCAAATTTGACGATGGCCTATATTAATAAAGGTTTGTAAAATTCTTGATTGTATTAGGTACTTCCTTACATAATCTTCACGAATTTAACGATGCAATTGTTTATCTTATTAAAGCAATCCAATTAGATACAAATCTTGCGATGGCCTATAATAATAAAGGTTTGTTAAATTCTTGATTGTATTAGGTACTTCCTTATATAATCTCCAAAAATATAACGATGCATTTGTTTGCTATGATAAAGCAATCCAATTAGATCCAAATTTAGCGATGGCCTATAATAATAAAGGTTTGTAAAATTCTTGATTGTATTAGGTACTTCCTTACATAATCTTAACAAATATAACGATGCAATTGCTAGCTATGATATTGCAATCCAATTAGATCCAAATTTTGCGATGGCCTATAATAATAAAGGTTTGTAAAATTCTTAATTGTATTAGGTACTTCCTTACATTATCTTAACAAATATAACGATGCAATTGCTAGCTATGATATTGCAATCCAATTAGATCCAAATTTTGCGATGGCCTATAATAATAAAGGTTTGTAAAATTCTTGATTGTATTAGGTACTTCCTTACATAATCTTAACAAATATAACGATGCAATTGCTAGCTATGATATTGCAATCCAATTAGATCCAAATTTTGCGATGGCCTATAATAATAAAGGTTTGTAAAATTCTTGATTTTATTAGGTACTTCCTTACATTATCTTCACAAATATAATGATGCAATTGTTTGCTATGATAAAGCAATCCAATTAGATCCAAATTTAGCGATAGCCTATAATAATAAAGGTTTGTTAAATTCTTGATTGTATTAGGTACTTCCTTACATTATCTTCACAAATATAATGATGCAATTGTTTGCTATGATAAAGCAATCCAATTAGATCCAAATTTAGCGATAGCCTATAATAATAAAGGTTTGTTAAATTCTTGATTGTATTAGGTACTTCCTTACATTATCTTCACAAATATAATGATGCAATTGTTTGCTATGATAAAGCAATCCAATTAGATCCAAATTTAGCGATAGCCTATAATAATAAAGGTTTGTTAAATTCTTGATTGTATTAGGTACTTCCTTACATTATCTTCACAAATATAATGATGCAATTGTTTGCTATGATAAAGCAATCCAATTAGATCCAAATTTAGCGATAGCCTATAATAATAAAGGTTTGTTAAATTCTTGATTGTATTAGGTACTTCCTTACATTATCTTCACAAATATAATGATGCAATTGTTTGCTATGATAAAGCAATCCAATTAGATCCAAATTTAGCGATAGCCTATAATAATAAAGGTTTGTTAAATTCTTGATTGTATTAGGTACTTCCTTACATTATCTTCACAAATATAATGATGCAATTGTTTGCTATGATAAAGCAATCCAATTAGATCCAAATTTAGCGATAGCCTATAATAATAAAGGTTTGTTAAATTCTTGATTGTATTAGGTACTTCCTTACATTATCTTCACAAATATAATGATGCAATTGTTTGCTATGATAAAGCAATCCAATTAGATCCAAATTTAGCGATAGCCTATAATAATATAGGTTTGTAAAATTATTGATTGTATTAGGTTTTTCCTTAAATAATCTTAACGAATATAACGATGCAATTGTTTGCTATGATAAAGCAATTCAATTAGATTCAAATTTTGCGATGGCCTATAATAATAAAGGTTGTAAAATTCTTAAGTGTATTAGGGACTTCCTTACATAATCTTAACAAATATAAAGATGCAATTGTTTGCTATGATAAAGCAATCGAATTAGATCCAACTTATACAAATGCTTATTTTAATAAAGGTTTGTAAAATTCTTGATTGTATTAGGGGATTTATTATAAGAAATCAAGAATTACTCTTTAGCTCTAAAGACTTATGAACAAGCAATCTTATATTGCCAATACGATTAGGTGAACTTTAAATGTCTAATTGCTGAATTAAAAAATAAAAAATGAATATTTATAAATTCATTTATACATTTAATTAATTTGAAAAATATTTTTATTGATACTTATTTATTTTTACTATTTTCTGCAAAACAGTCTTGAAAAAGGTGATGATGCTCTTTATGATAGGAAGTTTTCTATTAATCTTTTGCTCATTCTATCAATCACATTTTAGATTGCTGCTAGTTTTAATGTATTAACACTTCTACCCAAAATAAGCCTTCATATTTAGATATCAGCATCTTTTCGCCCTCATTTATTATTCTCACACAAATGAAAAATGCACTTTATAATTCAAAATCTTGAAAGCTTAGTAAATACTAAATAGTTTCTAGTCTATTTGTGACAAGTTTCCAGAAATTGATCTTCAATTCCATCAAATCTAGTCTTTAAATTATTGATTAAGATTAATTTTAAAAACCTTTGGTTGCCATAGAGTGCAGTAATTTTAGTTATTATTTAGCAATGCTCAATAAAATTGATTTTCTATAAAATATTTATACTCATCATAGTAAATTTGGCTCAAAGATTTTTAGTTTCTTATATTTATTATTAAATCTAATTTGAGTTGGCTTTTAATCTCTACTTTCACAATTAATCTTAAATTTAAGTCACAACTAAATTCAACATTTAGAGATAATTACTGTAACCTTTATAATGTTTGATTAGTCTCGTCATAGTTTGAAGAGTTTCTGAAAATTCATGAAAGGTTTATACATGCAATTTATTTTGAAGAGTTAATTGCTTTATCTGTGAAGGTTTAATCAAAAATTTATTTAGATATAATTTTATAGCATAAGTCGGAAGTTGAAGTAATAAAAAAACTTCTTTTATTCAAAAAACTAAACAATCATTCATCATCTATTAGTGGATAACACTTAAATCTTTAAATAAATGCATATGGAGACAACTCAATTTTTGATTAAAGAAATAAAATGAATGAAATAAATCTACCATTAGATTACTTCAAGAACCCTGTTCTTCATTCCCTAACCAGATGGAGTACAATTTTTAAAGGTGAAAATTGTTAACCTAAATTCAAATGAATTGGTTAATCATAGGAGGTATTTAGGGCTGAATTTTTCTGTCTTTATCGTTGAATTCAATAATTAGATCTGCTACTATTCATCTTTTTTACAAGTGTTTAAAAAGAATTAATTAATCCACTTATTCACATAGAACATTATAAAAGGGATACAGCGGCATTGTAATTTAAAAAATTTAATATATTCCAAACTAAATAAAATCCACAGAATCGCCAACATGGTATTTCGCCTTTTAATACACTTAGGTATTACAGGATTGAGGATTAGATGGTATCAAATACTGGCGAATCCTGAGTTAATTAGGGAAAAGGGTACAAACACTATTGAAAAATAATTTTTCTTTATTAGGAATAAAACAAGGATGAAGATGGGGAAGAAATTTTGACAACAGTACAAAGTTGGATGAACAAAGGAGGGGAGTACTTAGAAGGAAAGAAGTATCGGAAACTCGATGGGAAAGAATAAAATAGAGAGATAGAGGAATTCTAATTGGGTAAAAAATAAACTAGGAGATATCTGCAATTAACTTAAATACTAGAATTGAAGGGGGGATAGTTGAAATCTGTCAAAAAATTCCTGTAAAGAGAGTAGTCATAGATCAAGAGTATCCTGTTAAAGTGGTAAGATAAAGGGCTTTTGCTTACTAACTAGACCCTTGCGGACACAAAGATTAAAGAAACATAAGGTAACATTCAAATCTCTAGATCTTCCAAAAATTATTATTGGCACGGATGTTTGAATCTCAAATGGAAATTTAATTAAAATAAATAAATATAGTTGGATTTAATTGAGAAGAGAAAATTTAAAAAATAGTCCAACATAATAAAAAAAAAGGTAGATGGATTTAATTGAATTAAGAGAAAAATGATATTGGTTTTTTATTAGATCATCTTATTTAATTTATCAGTCATATACTGATAAATTGAGTATGTAATTGGTGATAAACTAAAAATATCAAATTTGGCTGCTATCTGATTTTAATAAATTTTCGTCTTTGAAAGAAACTAGGAGAATATATAAATAAGATTATTTGTTTTAAATTTGCTTGTAATATATTAATCATATATCTAGATTCAATTATTAGAAATAACTATATGTATTTATGAAGTTGTGCATTGTGCTCATGTTAAATATACTATCTAATAGTACAAGTAATACTCATATTTACAACAAAAGAGTTATGTAGAAATTATTTTTGATAATTGATAGATTAGACAAGAGAAAGTTGAATTATTCGATCATAGCTAGAGGATAAGTAAAATGATTTATGAGGATAATAAATATTATTAGCGCCGAAGAGGAACTAAGCGGCTCTAATCAAAAAAGCTGATTTATTTATAATCAATAATATATTATTAAAGTTTCAAACTTTTTGAAAATTTAGATCAAATGAAAAAATGAGCAATATCAATAGAGTTAGATGACATAGATAGTTATTAAAGGAATTTGATATTTAATGAATATACTAAAAATATCAGACAATTATTCAATAGGTTGGGAGGATTGTTGAAGATTGAGTAAAGTTTTTGAATGAATATTGTCTTGTTAAAATATACCAAATAAGAACTCAGCCAAAGAGAGTATAGACCTTCTGTAAGTAAAAACAACTAAATATAAAATAGCAGTCTAAGCAGAGAGGGAAAGGATACTTGATTAATTTGAAAAGATTTCTTTATATTTATAATCAAAATATTACAGTAACTTAGAGAATTAGCAGTTGGTGATAAAAGTTTCAGTATAGTATTCTTAAAGTTCGATGGCCTATTTAACATCTACGAATAAAATGAGATTATCTAAATTGATAAAATTAAAATAGGACTACAAAAGTAATTCTAGCCTAAAAATAGAATGATAATCTCCTTCCTTGAATTGAAAGGAAATTCTTATTTTAGAGGAGTAGATTTAGAACTAATATTCAATTAAAAGCCTTATGAGATCAGCAAATTGAGGTATAAAATAGCCAAATAATAGGTAATACACTGAGGTTGTGGAAGGAATACTAAGGAAATTTTAAAATCCTCTATATTGTCATCCTATAATTTTAGTTCTCAGCGTTTTTCTGTTGAGTTATTTGGAGGAAGGATATGAAATTATTGGCTTATGAAAGGAGTAATGTTGCAACATCCTTTGGACCACAAGAAGGTGTAACTATTAATTGGAATTGTAATCCAAAATTATAGGGATGAGAGTAAAGAACAAATTAAAATTTTATGACCTGTGGCTACTTGCTAGAGTGCCATCAGTTAGAATTGAGAAAAGCATACTTACTTATTTGAGATTTAAAATTTTCCATTTTTTGAATAGACCCTATTCAAACTAAGGGATCAATATAATTTAATTATTTAAAATAATTTATTACTGGCATATTTAAAAAAGGTATTTGCTGATTAAAAACTATAAAATAGATATCTCTAAAGTGAACTTCGTAACCTAAAGTCTAATCAAAGAATGCTTAATTTCTAAATTTACTTCTGCTTTCGAAAAGTTATTTTCCTAGCTTAAGTCAAGATTCAATTTATTAAAAATAAATTTTATAGTTCCTTTACTTTCAAAATATACTAATTAGTAAAATTAAAACATAGTTAGTTGTAGAATCTCATCAAAAGGATAGCTGTCAATTTTAGAAGCAAATATAATATTTCTTTATTGGTTTTTGAGTTAAAAATTATCAACCTTAATGTTACTTTTGAAGAGACTTCGTTTTGAAATTTATATTTTCTCTTTAATTTACTTGATTCTAAAGTAAAATTTTTTTTGGTCAATCTAATTTGACTATTTACTTTTGTAAAACTTACTAGAAAAATGGTTAAAAGTTCAATCAACTGAATATATGTCTGACCATATGTGAGATATCTTACATAACACAATTGCTTTATGAACTGATACTCCGTAAACAATAAAAATTGAAGTACTTTATCTTATTTCTTGGAGTATAATCTGGTGTCTCTACTGCCATTTTGATTTTACACTACTTTTTCCTCTCATAATCATATCCTCATTGAAAACTATCAACCAATATTTGCAAATTTTTAAGCCTTTAATAACATAATTTAAATTCTTGATTTTTGTCCTTAATGATAATCCAGTGTTGGACTTAAAATTATATGACTTAAAATGCCAATAAATCCATTTTACAATTGTAGTTAACTTTAGCATTTGATTTGGTTTATAGTTTAAAAATATTTATTAATGGGCACTGGTTTGTAATGAGAATTGAAACTTTTAAACTAAAATTCTTCATTAAAATAACGACTAGCAATTTCTTATAGTAATCAAATACACTCATCTTTTTTTACAGTCTATTAGCTTAATTGTGATGGTTGCAAATCATAAATTACTCTAAGTTTTGTATTAGAAAGTCCAACTTATGAATTCAACTTGTTCCTACTAAAACTGTTATCATTCGAACACTGATATAATTTGTCTGTTTAAATAATAATATTTCAATAGACCTATATCATAAAACTGCATTCGAGTACAACTTAGAATAGAATATAAAATGAAATTTATGATATATAGCAATTTGATTTTTCTTTACTATCGATGACACAAACTTTTAGCAAAGAAATAATTAATGCTAAAAATGATACTAAAATCTAATAAATAAATTTGAAATATTTCATGAAACTGAATATAAAATAATAAAAATGGAGAAAAGAATATGAATTGTTTATTTAGGATTTTCCAAAATAGATGATAATTAATAGTAATGAAAGACTGCTTCTTCTATAAAAATCTAAATATATAATTGACAAATAATTAATAATTCAAAAGTATCACTTAACTGTTTTATGATTATTAGGCTTAAGTTTAAATGTATTTTTAATAAATATAAAATGTAATTATTAAATACTATAATCAATATAATAGGCTATCAAAAACATAAAGATAAATGAATTTTTAATAAATAAGTTATAGAAATTAATGGAATAGTACGAAGGGGGAATTCTGATTGGAACTTAATTTAGAGAATAATTCAAATTTTATGGTCTAATTCTCAGGAAGAATTTCTTTTCAGAGTGAAATTATTGTGATTTTTGGATAAAACTTTAAATTATTTACAAAAAGAGAGGGAAAACTAAGCTCATATCTTATATAGGTCTTAGCTAGCTTTTTTCAAATCAATAATGAATTTGATAACAAAAGTTAAAGGCTGATCAAGTTAAATGGAATAAATCCCCTTTAATTGCCTTTGAATAAAAAAGACATCCAATTTTATAAAATAGAAATTAGAGTATATCGATATTCTTTTAACAATTTAATTATATATTTAATTTTCAATAAATTTAATGATGATTCTGGATAGTAATTGATTTTTGCATTGAATCAAGGAATGATTATATAGTTTGATTCCATCTTTTTAAGTGTTTTCTTATTGATTCTCTCCAGATTTGTTATCTAGTATTGATTTTCAAAATTCCTTTCCCGCCTATCATACTGGAGTATACTGTAGATATGAATTATTAATTTATATTATATTTTACAGTAATTTATCATCAAATTTATTGCAAGTTCCTAAAAAAGTATTCATATATTATATTTTGTTCCTTTATGGTTGAAGTTTCCAATTTTAATTTTACCTTTCATAAAGTTGTTAGTTTAGTGATATTTCAAAATATATCTGTTTAGCTTAATTATATTGATTTTTTTAGAGAAGGCTTTTCAAATTCTTCTCTTAAGTAATCAATTAGAGCAGATCTTTGATTACTAAATCATTTCTTTAGAAATTGCCATTTCCTTCTATTAGAAAACAAATGAGATTATCCTGTTTTCAATATCCCTGTTCTTGCCTTTGTATTAGTTAATGATATGCCCTAATAAGTTACTATTTTATAACAATTATGTTTCATTACATAAATTAGTTTAATTCTAATAATAGATAACCTTTTTTACTGTTTATAAGATCTCAATAATCTACCTTTAATGAACTTACATCTATGTTTTTGCAAAATCAGAATTTTCTATTTTAGGATTAATTTTGGGCTCATGAATCAACCGTTCTCTTTCCCCTGATGTTCTGATTTCTCCATCCTTTGATGACCTAGAATCGTTTAGAATAGCAAAAAGTCTAAATTAAGTGGGTAGCCCTAAAAATTTTGATTAGTACCCTTGATATAAGGAAGCGAAACATCTTAAGAGCATTTGAAGCCAAAAAAGTTGCTCTGCAGTCTACCCTACAAATACTCTCCTTTTATTTAAAATTAAGTTTTGATAAGATTCTTCAGTCCTCATTCTCAACTAAAACATAATTAAGTTTTTACCAATATTCATTTTATTTCTAATTATGATATCTAAATATCTATGCATTTATTTGGAAAAGTTCAGTTTAACACTCCTTCAAATGTCACCAATGCATGCAAAGTCAAGTATCAATTATGAATTTTTCGTTGTAGGTAATTAGGATTATACATTATAAAATAAATTATTAATGTATGGGAGAGCAAAATGGTTATGGAATCTTATTAGAAAAAATTTGAATGTAGAAATATAAATTTATAGAAACTTTTTCAAATAATATTACTTCAAAGAACTGCAAGACTTTTATTCAAAATAGTAAAAATGATAATATGACTTCGAGGTTTAAGCTCAGAATAAATTTATTTATTTTTGAATTTAGTTGTGAAAATTCTTATGAGGGTACTTAAGTTTAGTAATAATAATTTATACATTAGTAACTATGTTTCCACTTTATTTTAAAACTAAGATGGCTTCTCAAATAAATTCTCCTTGAAAGCATTAGGTTGTTGAAGGTTATTCTGCCTACTGAAACACTTTCAGTAAAGCTATTTTAATTAAATTATTACTTTATACATCAATTAATAATATATGCTATTAAACAATTTAAAAAATGATAGGAACAACAAATAATAAAAGCTATATAATTTTTAATTTGAAATGTTTATCTTAACTCATGCTGCAATAATCTAAGTTGCAAAACTTTGGATTTGATAAATAACAGTCTTTATCTAATGTCTTAAATTCTTGCTTTAATTCTTGAATTTCAAAAACCTAAATCCTATTATAAATATAATAATTTCAATTGATTATTCATATTATTAGTAATTAACTGTTCCCTTGTCTCTTATAAATAAAGATAGGATTGCTGTTATAAATTTTGCTATTCATTTATGTACTATTAAGCTAATTTTATAATGATTTAAGTCTACCTTGCTTTTTAACAGTTAATTAATGCCTTAAATACATATATTATTATTTTTATGTTGCTTCGTTTTTCTTTCTTTTTTATCCTTCAAAATCAATAGTTAGAGAATAAAATAGTTCAGATTTTAAATTTCTTCCTCATTTTCTATTAATGCAGAATCAAGTAAAATTATTTCTTTTAAGATTAAACTCAATAATATTTTTTTTTTCATCAGTTTTCAGAGTGTTCCAAAAAATTGAACTAATATAGAATGGATTATCGTTTTCATAATTGCATTTTAAACATAAACACACCAAAAACTTAAATAGTATTTTATTTTTGTTCTTAATTCTGCTCGATTAAATTAATAAATTGCGTCATTGCTTCATACTATTATTACTTCATATATTGATGAATCCAAGCGTTATGTAATTCATCAACTAAAATAAATAAATAGCATTCTTGTCCTTTCCTTAATCGATACCTTTATAAATTTATCATAAATTTTATTAAAAAAATCCTGTCACTGAATCTAAGTTAAGAAGAGGAATTCTATATTAAATTAATTTCTGAATGATCTGATCCATTTAGTGAAATGCATATAATTAATTTTAAAAAAGTGTTGGCTTTTACTTATATTTAAATTATTTAATTATATATTTTTTATTGATAAGTTAAAATCAGTATTTCTAAGGCTCGTCATAAGAAAATTAACTCTAGTAAGCTTTTTTACTCCCTTCTCAATTTTTATATAGCCTAGGTTGGACTCTAATCTAAGAAAGGGAAACACTCATGTGCCTTTTCTAACATTGTAACATTAATATTCTGGTGGTTTAATCATATAATACCCTTATTAGGCTTGAATTCTTTCAAAATAATTCTAAACGAATTCAATATTTTATTATTCATAACTCAACCACTAAAATAGGGAAAAATAAAATAAAACAATTTTTAGAAAGATATAAAATTATCCATTAGGAGTGATATTATGCTAATAGGTGATAAGACTCTTGACAAAAGATCTTTAAAGTAAATTACTAATTTTAGTAAATTATGAATTATCAACTTGCAAAGTAATTTTGTAATTCGAATAAAGTAAAGAAAAATACAACTTTCTAATATAAATTTGGTCTTACTAAAGTAAAAGTACATTTTTAATATGGTAGTTATCTTTTTTGCCCAATTTTAAAAATAATCATTTTTATGGAAATCATATCTGAAATTAAGGCATAACTCTTGATATATTGTAGACCGAATTTTCTAGCAAAAACAAGAGAATTTTATTTCTAACATTAGTATAGATTCCTTCTATCTAAGCAACTTCCAAAAACAACTAGAATAAAATTCATAATATCTAAGTTTAATTTGTTGCCAGAATCATCCAGAATTAATATATAACTAGGAAAGTTTATTTTGGCTTCACTAATGAAATATATAAAACCAAAATATCGATGTTCTATAGGCATTTTTATCCAAAACATGTCCCCTTAATACATAATAATTTATTATTATTTATAATTAATTAATGGAAAAATATTATATATATTTATTTTTTGGAAATGGAGGATATATTTGAAATTTTGATTTAATCAAAAGACATTGATCAATTTATTTACAGTGAAATAATAGAATCATTTAAAAGAGAGAAAATAACAAATTGTCTAGAATTTCTTGAATAAGGTGAAAATCTTTAGAATTTTTAATATATGTTTAAGTTAAACATTTATTAGAATTCGATAATTAAAAATATACCTAATATGACGATAACATAAGGAAAGTTGCTAATATAATCAAAAAGATTATTGGACATGACTTTTACAAAAAAAATTATTCAACTGAGACATACAATCAAACGATTGAGGATCTAATTACAAAAATATTGCCAGAAGAGGAAATAGTTGGATTTTTGAAATTTTTAGTATGCCTTACAGCTATTGATGATAAATTTATTTAATGTGGATCAAATTCACTTAACTTATTAGTTAAAATGAAGGCTGATTTGAGTCAATAATGTTTTTAAAATATAAAAATTCAAAATACTTCATTGATTGGAGCTAATTTTGAAAAATGTAATTTAAGAGGATCTTAATTTGACAACGTCGATATAAGTGGAATCAATTTAAATAAGTCTAAATTATTTCATTGCAAATGAAATAACTTAAAAATACTTGAGTTATCTATATTAGATCATCAGGGTTGTAGCATCTTTTCAGTATGTTTCTCACCAGATGGTAAAGTATTATCATCTAGTGGTTAATATAAATCTATTTGTTTTTGGAGTGTCAAAACAGGAAAAAAAATCTCTTAATTATAAGGTCAAAAAGGTAATATTTTGTAAATATGTTTCTCACTTGACAGTACTAAATTAACTTCTTTTAGTTCAGATTACTCGATACGCTTATGGAATGTCAAAACAGGAAAAACAATATCTAAATTAAAAGGTCATAATGGAACTATTTAATCAATATGTTTTTCACCTGATGGTTACACATTAGCATCTAGTGGTTACGATTAGACTGTCCATTTATGGAATGTTTAGACTAAAGAATAATAAACAAAATTATCTGGAACTGGTGGAACTAAATATTCAGTATGTTTTTCTCCTGATGGTACTACATTAGCATTTGGTAGTGTATATGGCTCTATTTACTTATGGGATATTAAGTAAGGTCAATAATAATCTACATTTGAGGGTCATAATAATATTGTCCATTCTATATGCTTTTCTACTGATGGCACTAAGTTAGCATCTGGTAGTTTTGATAAGACTATTTGTTTATGGGATTTGTTAGCAGGAGAACGAAAATTTAAATTAGAATGCCATACCCATTGGGTTAATTAAGTCTGCTTCTCATTTGACGGTGCTGTACTAGCATCATGTTGCAGAGTTAAGTCAATCCGTTTATGGAATGTTGATACTGGACGATAATTATCTAAACTGGATGGCCATACCGATTGGGTTTATTCAGTCTGTTTTGCACCTGATGATCTTACGTTAGCGTCTGGTAGTTATGATCAGTCTATCCGTTTCTGGAATTTTAATTTAGGACTAAAATATTCAAATATTGATAATCAATAAATTCTAGTTAATTAGAAAGGCTTCTCACTTGATAGTAACACATTAAAATCTGGTAGCTATTATAACGTCATCCATTCAAAGAATTTTAATTCTGAACAATAAAAACTATCTTCTAAAAACAGAGGGAGCTTTAATTTAAAAAAGTGAATTCATAACTAAATAAGGTATAAATTTAAGGAGGCTATTTAAATTAAAAGAAGCTTGTATTTTGGATTAACTAAATACATTACAAAACTGAAAGTGGTTTTTCGTAGGACTAAATTAATAAATTCTATATTTTTGTTGTTTATACTATTTGATCTTGTATTTCTTCAAGTTAAGTTTTTAAAGAGATTTAAATCACACCATCATCTAAGTATATATACTTTATTAGTTGTCTTTTTTTTTCACTATACTTTATAGATATATAAAGGTGGTAAGGATATGGTGGCAGTTATTGCTGAAATTTCCAACTTGGATAGATTGGAGATGAAAAATAGCCTCACTGAGTCTCTATTGATATAATTGAAGGTGTCATAACCAATGAATACGTAAAGTGCTTAGCAACATATGCTAAAATAAATATTTTTATCTATGATGAAAACAAGAATATTATTTTAATTTCTGGTACGATAATTATGATAAAATTATGTATCTTTACAGAAAAAATGGATTATTTAGTGAATTAAAAGGAGAAATGATTAAAGAATAATAATGGTATAATTTATTAGCCTAGAAACTATCAACCCTATAATAGAAAAGAGATGTTTGGATTCAAAAAAATCTAATGGCCAATCAAAGGGTGCATGATGGATAATTTAACAACGAATGGAGGGGCTAAAGGTAATTTAATGGGCTGTCGAGCAATGATGAAAGCAACCCTCAACCATAACCTGGTTACTATAGAAGGAAAAAATTCAGAGAGTTTCCTCAAGGTTAGAGAAGAAGGAATAATAAAGCTTAAGGCTGAGTTCTGACAGATGACTCAACCAGATTTATAGGCAAGTCTAGGTAGGTGAACTAGAACTTGTCATATGGGAAACAAAGTAATAAAAATGATTAGATCGTTTCCTTCAATCACCATAATACAACTAAACACACTTTTAGAATAACAAGTTGGAATGTTGGCTCAATAAAGAAAGGTACCAGTCAAATAGCAAAAAAACTAACCGCGTATTATTTGGTCTATAGGAGACACGATAAAATTCTGTCTAGAGCTCTCCTTCATACACCTTTGTTCATAAAGAAGGGAAGTCTGAACACTAAGGAGGAGTTTTAATAAGAATAAACTCATGCTTTGACTTCACTAACATCTCTGACAAGGTTACACCTCCTAATCTTACAGATTATGACTACATTGCTATAAATTGTAGAAACAGTTGCTTAAATTTAATGATTCTAAATATCTACTTCCCAAGCAAATAAATAATTAGTAAGAAAAAGAAAATTTTTTTAAATCTATGGATATAAAAACTAATGTTCAATAAAAAGTAATTTTAAAGAATCGTTATATGTGGAGATTTTAATCATAATAACGGTACGGTTCGACTAATTGGCTAACATTATAGAATAATCAGACCTAAAATTCACTAGAACAATCCAAGGAAAGGTAGTGTAATCTCACTTAGATTCCATTTGCTGCCAAGGACAAGAATATAATGAGAAAATCTCCTGTTCACTAAACCCTCAGATCATTCAAGAATAAATTGCCAACTAACTCTATAAGGAGTTTAAAATTAAAAAGAACAAAGGGTTGGTTGGAGTAAGTCGAATGCTATAATCTCAATTAAGAAGCAGCATTAAAATGCAATGATTTTTAAACATGGTACAACTATGATGTAAGATATAATCTAAGAAAACGATAAGCAATTAAAAAGATTCGTGTAACTATACCATAACAGGCTAAAGGAAAATAAACGATTGAAGAATAACTTATGAAATCGGCTATATTATTTAATCAGCCAAACCTCAAGAAGGCTTTCCAAAATATAAAAAGAATGGCAACTCTTAATCCTTCAAAAAAGAAAGAAGCTGGTATATTTAGAGGCTTCAAGGATGATCAAGATAATATCCATATTCATTCAGATACTGAGTAAAATCTATTACAAGATTTAGACAGAATTTTGCAGAGAAGTGTATATCAGACTCTTACACCCTATATCGTAGAGATTCAAAAGCTATTAAAAATTCATATCAAAGGAAGTACTGTTTAAGTTAGATAAATTTAGTCTAATTTAGGTTGTTTAATTTGTGGCGAATATGAAAATGTTGGAGAAAAAAAAGATGAAATATTATGATTATTGATGAAACCATGTACATAATTAGAGCTTAACAAAAGAGGAGGAAGTGATTATGAGGAATGAGTAAAGCAGGGTAAATGGATCGATGTTGATAAAAAATATTTTGAGTAGGCTTTATTAATAATAAATAGGTACTACTAAGTTTGATGCTTTAGAGAATAATCAAATGGTATGAAAATCGGAAGGTGGGACTTTCTATTTCAAGAAAATTTTATGTATTAATTTATCCTTTTGATAGTTGTAGGAGAACAATACGAAAGTAGGATTAAAATTGGAAATGGACATTTCTTGATTCACAATGGAATAGGCAAGTTTCCGATGGAATGAACAATAAGTAAACTTCTAAATTTCAGAGAAAAAGGAAAGGATTATAATTTAAATAAGTAATAGATAGTATTTTGCTAAAATACAACTTCCAACATAGCTTTATTAAGGTTCAATCTCTTCCGTATAAGTTTCCATCATCAAATACATCATATTGATTAACTCTTAATTCATTACCACACTTAGGAACACCAAAATTATTAGTATAGGATTTTCAAACATTTGAAATTTGGATATTTACTCAGTCTAAAGAATTGTAAAATCATTTATTAATCATCATTGTCATTTGGTTGGAACAATTACTAGTTTTAATGTATAATGCATATACATAATGGAACTCTTCACATTATTTTAATTGGAAAAAATACAACCTCTAAGCATTCAAATTAACAGCACTCATGGCAAGGGATGTCATATGCAGTTCCATTAATCACTTTCTTTAATAACAATCTATCTCCACATTAAGAATTAGAAACCTTACATTAATTAAGTATCTAACCTGTATTTATATAACTATAACATATCCCTTTTACACAATCTACACAATATTCTTAACGTGATATTTTATAACTTTATATACATAAATTTCTTTAACTTAAAAGTAATATTATTGAAAGTCAAATGAAAATAAATGAAATTGTAAACAACAAATAATTTATTTTATGAATTAATTTCATCCTCATATTGATCTCAGGATACTTTTAAATTAACCTTAACAATAAGAATGATAATAAATTAACAAAATTTTACTTTGGAGCAACAAATCTTTATAGGAAATACGTTCCTAAATAAATTGAACTATAATTTACAAATATCTTAACTGATTTGAATAACATTTTTAATTAATTTTTGCTTGCGTTTTAACTGCAAGATTAATAAAATCTTTCCTACTAAATGATGATTTGTTGTCTTAAATCAATATCCAATAACCTGCTGTGGAATGCATTTAGCAGGCAACACATTTATTTATTATACCGATAATTAAAATTATATACATATGATACCATCAGTATCCAAAATCCAAACTGGTTACAAATATATTTATATAAATTATTAACCGTAAAATCAACATCAACAAAAGTTAAACGGTCATTCTGATTATATTCACAAGCTTGTGAATCACTCAAAATTAGCTAGCGAGCAGTCATGCTTAATTATTAAAGAAAGTAATAATTACAAATTTACCTCAGTATTAATATTAAAGNTCTCCGATACCATCATGTTCGTTCTAAGTCTGTCTCAGTCCCTCAGGTATGAGGACAGGCCTAGGGTGCAGTACCTCAAAACATGTCAATTATGACATCATCAGCGAAATTTTTAATTAAATTTTTTCTTCTCTTTTATTGAATGTTGTGCTCATGCCTAGTGTTAAGTAAATACATGAACATTTTTGAGCATAAGGAGAAAAATAATTAGTACCATATTATCCAAAAGTATTTGATGGCTCATGCAAGTTTAATTAGCTGCAACCTCCAAATAACTATGACATAATTTGGACAAATATACATTTGAAGCTCATGGCCGAAAGGAGTTATTTTGTTTTTTCTATATAATAACATTATGTATGCATTATTAGAACTTTCCATTGATATGGTCATTCAGCAAATAAAAAATCATAGCTGGATTGATTGGTTGCAATATATCAAATTAAGATAGTTTCTAATTGTATCTCTTAAGGAAACGATTTCCATAACGAAATGAAATTTGAAATCATGAAACCAAATAATTAGCACCAATTAGTAAACACTAAATACATTATTAATATTAATTAAAAGAACAACTTTCTGTAATAAAAACCAATAGATTACCAAGTAAATTGAAATGAGAAACTGCTTTTGAGGAAAGTTTCCAAGAACATTAGGAACAGGATGCACAATAGATGAAATTAGCTTACTAATTCAAAGTGCCAACAATTCTATTGATACTGACACTAAAGGAGAATTCTAATATGTAAAATATGTTTTAATTTCAATGTGTTGAAGACAAAAACAATTTTTACTGTGGTGAATTAACTAAAATTAGTGACCATTAATATCTATAAACAAAATTTCTGGTGTAGTATAAACAAAGAAAAATTCAGTGGGGATTTATGTAAGATATGATACAGCGCTTCTATTAAAATCTCCTTTATTTGGATGGCAGACTTTTTAATACGATTGAATATCCACTGCTGATTTAGAATGTATTTAACAGATACATGATATTAATATTCCTATTTACACTTGAGAATTTAGTATAACAACTATAATATTTGGAGTTCCAGTATAAATACTGGCTTCTTAAGGATTAAAACTTAGTGAGATTCATTAAATCATACACTTACCATGTGTGATATGAGCTGTGTACTTTATAATATTAGTCTGATCATAGCATCACTTTGTCTAAAAGCATATCACAATACCTTAAGCAGCAGGCTTTTAAAATATGCACTGTATAAACTAATAATTGCTCAAATTTGTTGTAAATTAGCACTATTTCATACACAATTGCTAGTAACGTGTGCACTAGCTTATTGAGTCTCAGCAAATTATATCCAACTTATATTTTATTAAAGAACTCTATCTGCTATAATTCCTCGAAATATAGAACGCTGGTAACCAATTACAAAACGATATAGCATAACTCAGGACTAGCAGAGAGAGATTACTTAGTTAGTCTCAGAATAGCCTCAAAATCGATGTGAAGCTTTTCATAAATAAAATTAGGAAAGAATAAGATCATTGATAGCATCAAAAGTTTCAGTACATTACTTACACTATGTATCACATGTTAAATCACCCCCAATTCTTCTCTGATTTCAAATGGTTTTATTTGGAAATATTTACAAATAAATTATAGCATTATTGTATGATTCATCCATCGGAGAGGCTGGTGGGCATACAATGGAAGTCTATATGTATCAAATGTAGTAGGCCAATTATTAGGACATCGATCTATAGGTGATGACAATGATATATATAATTAAATAACTATATGTATTTAAACTTTTATGAAATTAGTTGAAGTATTGCATAAAGTTACCTTAACCTATATAAGATTATCTCTATTCAAACACTAAGAAGGCAACATTGCTAGTTTGGAAACAGTATCTAACCCACTAATCTATACTTAGAAGATAAATATTTAACTATTAGAATAGTCATTGATTGTATATGAGTATGTCTTATGTAATAAGCGCTTCTGATTGTGTCAGATAAATATGTATTTCTCTTTGTCTTTCTTTTCACAAGTAAAGCCAACCTTTTTGGAAAGAGTAGCCTGCATGTTGAGACAATTAATAGTATACTCTAACAAGAGGTTTTATAGGATATATCATGAAAATACTGTCTTTATAAAATGAAGTCATTTAGGAACTTCCTCACTATGCATACAAAGTTTTAAAAGTATTTTCTTTTTATTTAGTGAATTTTAATTAAAAAGTGGAATGCTCTCTGCATTTAATAAACACAATATCCTCAAGATACAAAACACTAATGCAAAAGAAAAAGTGCTCAAGTAAATTTGTTACAATCTTGTTGAGGATGAAATTTTTAATTCATAACTGCACACTATAATGATTTAGACATAAAGCAGCCATTAAAATAGGCTTAACAATTACTAGTTGCCGCCATACATTTTATGCTTTATAATGTCTTCATTGTTAAGGTAGGTTATTTGTTGTATATGTACATACATAAAGCAATTCATGCTTTTAATTGCAATTCCACTGGGACCAAGCTACATTTTATGAGTATTTTTAAACCTGTTTGCTCGGCAATGACCTATAATAACAAATAAGATAAACAATTCATCAAGTATATCTGCATCACTATTTGTTCCATTCAGCACATAGGTTGAGTTGATTTATCATTAAGTATTACAATTCTTATGATGACTAGGCATATTGCGATTTCAGAATGCCCCTGTAATCTATACTTTAACTGTCATAACATAACACAATTCAGTAATAAAATGAAAGAAAATTAGTAATTTTTAGTATTTTGAATCCATTCCTACTAGGAACTCTGTTATATCTCTGAGTCAAGATTATAACTACTTTATAGGATGATCCAATACAACATGTGTTTACAAGTCTTGTGTGAACATGAATCATCAAGGAATTGTATTATAGCTCCTGATAATCAACATAAACGCATCTTTTAAGAAAACTAAAAACTACCATTTGAATCAACTTATAATCACTTGGTGAATCTCTTTCATTCGGATAGTATTAGTTCTTTCTCTTCTAAATGCACAAAAAATTTACTTAGTTACTTAGCAGAGATTTTGAAGACTTGTCGAGATTAAATACAAATTTAGAAGTAGTCACACCTATATAGGCAAATATATTTTATATTTCATGTTCGTTAGGTTATTATATTCGAACTGCCTCTATTTAATTGTCTGGAAATGATTATATTGGATGAGGCCGTTCATTAAGTAGTGATGTAAGAATTTTATTAATCATATCTTCGGGTGTTTGCTTCAAATTTAACTTAATTGTAATCATTGAATTGTTCGTTCTTTTAATAGAAATGTATAACTTTCATCTATCACCTTCTGACTTTGTATCATATACAAGGTTCTTGATATTTGGCAATAACAATAATAGCTATGCTTCAATTTAATAACGAAAAGTAAAGTTATATAATTGAAATTCATTTTATAAAATATTATTTAATCCCAGTTCTAAATTGTTTGTTTGTCGATGGTTACAAAGCAACTCAAATATTTTCGTTCACTTTTAATTGATATCCTCACAATAATTGTCCAAAGTTGATATATATGTGAAAACCTCCTTTTTCAAAAGGTATCCGTGTGGCAAAGGTGTTTGAATTCTAGCAATGCCTTCAATTATTTGCAAAATACTGCATTGTTCTACTTCAGCCATTTCATATGCTTGCATCTATTTATCACAGCAAGTCAATGATGAAAAGTGTAATACTTAAACATCGGAGGTTTTATGATGGCTCTCTTCCATCATCTAATATACTATTGAAGGAAGTTGAGAACCTTCCAGCTAAGCAATCTGATGATCATCGCCCAAATATCCTAAGCATCCATTTTTTTGGTCATCTAAATTGAGCATGGTGATTATCATCTCAGCTATTCATGATTATAGATTATTTCCTTCTTACCTCCATATTGCTTCACCAGTTTATCATTTATTCTTCAATTA